CAGGGGGACTTGTAGGGGACAGGAGTCTGCAGGGGGACTTGTAGGGGACAGGAGTCTGCAGGGGGACTTGTAGGGGACAGGAGTCTGCAGGGGGACTTGTAGGGGAGGGAGTCTGCAGGGGGACTTGTAGGGGACAGGAGTCTGCAGGGGGACTTGTAGGGGACAGGAGTCTGCAGGGGGACTTGTAGGGGAGGGAGTCTGCAGGGGGACTTGTAGGAGACAGGAGTCTGGAGGGGGACTTGTAGGGGACAGGAGTCTGCAGGGGGACTTGTAGGGGACAGGAGTCTGCAGGGGGACTTGTAGGGGAGGGAGTCTGGAGGGGGACTTGTAGGGGACAGGTGTCTGCAGGGGACTTATAGGGGACAGGTGTCTGCAGGGGGACTTGTAGGGGACAGGAGTCTGCAGGGGGACTTGTAGGGGACAGGTGTCTGCAGGGGACTTATAGGGGACAGGAGTCTGCAGGGGGACTTGTAGGGGAGGGTGTCTGCAGGGGGACTTGTAGGGGACAGGAGTCTGCAGGGGGACTTGTAGGGGACAGGAGTCTGCAGGGGACTTGTAGGGGACAGGAGTCTGGAGGGGGACTTGTAGGGGAGGGAGTCTGCCGGGGGACTTGTAGGGGAGGGAGTCTGCAGGGGGACTTGTAGAGGACAGGAGTGTGCAGGGGGACTTGTAGGGGACAGGAGTCTGGAGGGGGACTTGTAGGGGACAGGAGTCTGCAGGGGGACTTGTAGGGGACAGGTGTCTGGAGGGGACTTGGGAAGCTTTCACACTCCTCATGCTATGCTGAGTCCCCACTCACCTGCCTTAGGAGCCCCAAGTGCCACATTTCCAAAGTGCCCATTAGGCTCAGGCCTCTGTTGGTGGAAGGGACTCCCTCCCTGTTTCTTCCCCTCCAAAAGCCCAGTGATGGTTTCCCGTCCCTCTTGCTGAGAGTTTTGTATTGAGCCGGGTTCTGGGCAGAGCTTCCTTGGTCTGGGGTGGTGGCAGGATGGGGTGGGGGTAGGGGAGGCGTGGAGAGTGTGGGGTGGGGTGAAAGACATGAGCTAAAGAGGCAAACTCAGAACCCTGTTCTTTAAAAAGGAATGAAGTCATCCTAGATGGGAGTCCAAGGCCATGTCCCCTGCACTCCCCCCATGGTGACTGAAGTCTTTGGAATAGCCTCCGCTCTACACTTCTCCCCAAGCCTGCTTCTCAACTGACTGTCTTCTGGGGGCTGTTCCTCCTGGGGTGCCATTCCCAGGCTTCCGCCTCTATGGGCCCTGCCTTGGCCTGGGCTAATGCTCTCTCCTGGCTGTCTTTTAAGATTCCCCATCTTGTTTCAGACTTCCTTCAAATGACATTATCAGTGTACCAGGAACGCCTGGCGCGTCCCCCAACTCCTTCCCCTGGAAGACAGCCAGATTCTGAGTTGTTTTGTCACTCCTATAGATTCCTTAAATCTCTGTTGCATGTATATACCTGATAGAATGTTGCCATAGATGCTATAAATGTAAGCATTGCCTCCCCCTCCCCCACCTTTATTTATTTTTTTCATTGTATCTCTGCTTTGGTCTTGCTTAGTCGGTTTCTTTGCTGCCTTGGAAACTGTAGCACACCTGAGCTGGGGGGGGGGGCTGAACTAACACTTAGCACTGCCCAGCTCATTACCGCGAATGGCATGGACTTTGCCTGTCTCCATCTATTCTTGGCCATAGAAGCAACTCCACCCCGACATAAGCCTTTGTGACTGTCCTCCCCACCAGTTCCCCACAGCAGTGGCCTGGCACAACTTGGGGACAATCCAGGTCCCAGAGAAGGAGGGACCGTGATGGAGGACACCCATCCCACCTTGGCACTTCCAGCTAGCTTGGGTACCTAGCGGGTGGTCAAACCCATGCCTGCCCGGACCCTCTGCTAGGATAACGGGCCTTTCAGACCGGGCAGGCCCGGGGACAGACTGTGTTTCTAAACTTTTGTGTTTTACATCATTCATTTATTTTACATGGTGTGGGGGGGGCGTGTGCAGATCACAGAAGAGTTAGTTCTCTCCTCCCGCAGCTGTGGGTTTCTGGGGATTGAACTCAGGTGGTCAGACTTGGCAGCAAGCGCCCTTACCCCAGGAGCCATCTCCCTAGCCCTGTTTTTCTAAACGTTTGATCCCGAGGCCAGGGGAGAGGGCCAGGCCTGAGTGGTGGGACTGCCCTGCAGCCTGTGGAAGGGGCCTCTGGGTGTAAACCAATCAGTGTGTGCAAGCTGGGCTGTCAGCTCCCGCTCCAGACAAGGCTCTCTTTGTCTGGCCTGCCCCGAGGTGCTGCAGAAGGCTCTGTATGATTATTTCCTCAGGGCGGCTGGGCCTTGCTTTGCTGCAAAGTGGGGTTTACCTCATTCAGTCAGCTGGGGGCTCAGAAAACCGCCGTCTACACCTCGCCTCTGAGGCTCCCTGTACCTCAGCTGAGTATCTCCAGAGAAGCAGTAGGCACCAAGTCTCTCCTTCCTTTCTCTGGGAGCAAATTTGTCCCCTACCTCCTCCTCACATTCTGTAGCCCAGGCTAGCCTTGAACTCATTGGTGGTCTTTCCGTCCAGCCTCCTGAATGCTACAATTACAGGCATGAGCATCCATATCTTCTGAACCACATGCTAGTTAATTAGACTGTGCCTCAGTTTCCCCACCTGAGAAATGGGGAGATAGTACCTAACCTAGAGTTGTGGGGAATGAAACACAGGGTGTCTAGAAGCATGCAGGACACAGTAAATTCGTTAAATGTTAATACTTTTTTTGAGGGTTATTTTTGAGACAGGGCCTCATGTAGCCCAGACTGACCTAGGACTATATGAGCCATGACACTCTTAGACTCATGATCCTCCTGCTTCTCAGGCGCTGGGACTACAAGTATAGGCTGCTTCTTGGATGTTATTACGCATTACTGTTAATCCATCCTTCCTTTTGATGAGTGAGCAGCTGTGGGGGGTCTCTGACTTTGGGTCCTCACATTCTTTCTCCTTCCTTTTGATTTTCTGTAGACTGCTTCATAAGTCACATGTCGGAAGAATCTGGAAGGCCCCATCAAACAGCAAAAGGAACTCTCTGTGCCGGCCAGAGGTAAGGGTGCAAAGGCGTTGGCTCCACCCTCGCGGAGCAGTCAGCGTCCCCAGCAGCGGGTCCGCTTTGTCTGAAGCGCCCTCTGCCGGCCGCGGGCAGCAGGCGCTGAGACAGGGCCACCGTTCTGGGAGATGGAGACCGCGCTGGGGGTGCAGCAAGACCTTGCCTCCGGAATTCAGGCCTCCAAGAGCTTCTCCACCAGGGCGGAAACCTCAAGACCAGGACGAGCCGCGGGCCGCAGTCAACCCAGCCACCAGAGGCTGGGCAATGGCTCAGCAGTTAGGAACACCAGCTGGCTGCTCTTGCAGAGAGGGCTGGAGTTTGGTTCCCAGCACCCACATGGTGGTCCATAACCGTCTCTAACTCCATTTCCTGGGGATCTGAGGTTCTCTTCTGGCTTCTACAGGTACCTGACTTATATGATGCACTTAACATACACGCAGGCCAAGTATTCATACACATAAAATAATCTTCTGAAATAAATAACTAAAAAAAAAAAAGGTTAAAGAAAGGAGAGAAGCTAGACAGCATGGAGGACTTCCAGGACAGCCAGGGCCACATAGGAAAATCCCGACTAAAACACAGAAAAGATAAACTGAGTGTCTAAGTGATCCTAGAAACTTCCTGTGTCATATCTGGTAGAACAGTCTTCGTCAGCACCCAAGGTAGACCTTTAGCCTACTTCTCCACAAATTGATAAATATTGCCACTACTCTATGAAAGAGTGGGGATAAGAACCAACCCCACTAGGATTCTAGTTGACGCAGGAGAAACTGCAGTTAGACTGCTGGGAGAACTGTCCTGAGTACAAAGCTGGGGTGGGGGAAGGATGCATCTTGCCCCTTTTAGGGTCTGGAGTAAGCAGGCTGCTACTGGGAATAAGTCTCAGAGTAGAGCCTGTTTTCGCAGGGGTAGGGTAAAGGAGGTATGAGCTTGGCAGCCAACACCCTGGATTCTCCGAGGGCCTTTGGGCCAGGAGGGGAGAAAAGAAGGACAAAGGCCACAGTGAGGTTGACCGCAGAAGGTGCCATCTAGAGGAAACACGTGGCCTCTGTGGTGACGAGCAGTGCTGTCCGTCAGGGTAAGCAGGGCCTGTCTGTCTCTAAGCGAAGCCTGTTCCTCTCTTGGTGTGTGTGTGTGTGTGTGTATGCGTGTAGGTGGATGGGCAGACACATTGAGGTTCATCTCTCACCGAGTGTACAGGGGTGGAGGAACTAAGGTGAGGGAGAGGGGTCAGCGAGCCAGAGTTAGAAGGGAACAGGGTCAGCAGGGGATGTCACCGGCCACCAGTCGAACTGCCAGTCTTTGGAGTCTCAGAAGCTGAGACGCAGCGTGTGGCTTGCAGCGAGCTTGTGCGGGAGACCTGCAGAAGAGGCCCCAGGGAGCTGTGCTGGAAGGGGATGTCACCCACGGACAGAACCCGCCTTGGGACTAATGGCCGGGCAGTCAGGTCTCTCCTGTCCTTTCCTCCTCACGCTCGAGTCCCCTGAACACATCATTCTTTCCCCAGCCCACCTGCACTATGCCACCGCAGACACATGCATTACAGGGCCAACCCCGTCGTGTCAGGATGCACGCAGGCCTGCCCAGGCGACCTGATGGCTTAGTTGGGCACCCTGTGTGGGGCGGCACACACTTAGCCACAACGGCAGAGGCCGCTGTCACGAGTTGTACTACTCTCCCGGATGGGGCAGAGTGTCCTGGCTGAGGGTGCCGTCGGCAACGATACTGCAACAGGTCCTGACACTCAGGACTCGGGATTAGAACCCTGGTTCATGCAGGGGGCCAGTTGAGAGGGACTCAGGATGGCCTGTGCCCCGACACAGGTTCACAGGCCTGGCTTGCTTGCCGCTGCTGTCCTCAGCGAGTCTCCCGACTCCGAGGGCCCTCCCCTCCCTCGCCTTGGTGACACACACAGGGCCCGGTAAATAGAGGACTTTAATATTCTGTGCTGGTCAAACGGAACACAGGTGGGGATGCAGGGGAAGGCCAGGGCCCCTTGCCTCGCAGGAGGGTGGCTTGTGTAGGGCAGGATAAGGGTTGGTGAACACGGGGTTCTCCTGGGAAATGTCCAAGGAGTCTTTCTCAGGGAAGGGGCCATGGCAGGGTGCTCCAGGGCATCCCTGACACCCAGTCTGTGGCCTTGGGTTGTGGGTCCCCCATAGGGGGTCCGCAGAGTCTCAACTTTCCAGCTCTTCTGCTAGAATCCACACTGCCAGCATGACTTGGTCCTATGCGGGGGTCTGAAGAGCCCCCAGAAAACAGCCCAGGGTTGGGGGCACGATTCTGCCCTCTCCCTTCTCCTTAGGCAGGGCAAGAACAGAGGGTAAGTGGGCAGGACTGCCCCTGGACCCTGGGGAGGGGGGAAGAGAGGGTCTTGCCACCAACAGACACTGTAAACTTTGGTTTTAACAATAACTTAAGTGGAGGGACGGCTTCCAGCCTGGAGCCAGGGTGCAAGGTGGGGGGCGGTCAGGGTGCTCGGGAGGCGACAAAGGAAAAAGCCAACAAAAAGATTTGGTTTTTGCTTCCGGCATAAGAAAGGTCTTTGGTCATCCGTTTAACTGGGGGACAGGTGCTGAGGGGTGAGAGGGCCCCACTGCAGGGATTCGCAGGCCGCGGCTGAGGATGGTTCCTGCCTGGCTTCCTCCCATTGTGATGGTCAGGCCACAGAGGCCACCTATTGCAATACAGCTCTGAAGGTGGCCGGCACAGGGTCCCTCAGAGCTCTCTCCAGGTCGGGGTGCCCAGCAAACAGGGTGGGGTGAAGGCCTGCTTCGTCTGGGCGCTTGCCACACCCCAGCAGCTTGAGGGTCTGGGCTCCCACACCGAGTGGGGAGCTGGGGATGGGGAACCTTATAATCTTCACAGTCGGGAAAGGCCAGGGGAAGACGAACCAGGAAGGGACCGCCGGCCAGAAGCCTCTGCCACAGCCAGGGCAGGAGACGAAGCTCAGGGGTGTGAGGGTGGCTCGGCCCCGCCCGCGGGTCTCCCCTGTGCTAAGGGGCCCTGGAGGGGAGCGCTGCTGGGGAGGAGGGCCCTGCTGCTGCTGGTGGTGGTTGGGATACAGGGGAGGGTCTGACCCTCCACGTCCTCTACGGGTCCTGGGCCAAGGGTTCTGTGTCCTCTCAGGAGGCAGGCATGTGTCTGCCCCCAGGCGTCTGTCGGTCAGGTAGCTTGGGGAGCTGCTGGCCCAGGTCTCCCCCCGTCTGAGTCCCCGAAGTGCCTTGAGGTTGGAGGGGCTGTAGAGTGGGGTGGGTGGGCTGCGGTCTGGACTGGGCAGCAGGGTCCTGTCCCGCCCTGCCTGCCCACCCAGCCCTTAGGACATGTCTTCTCCTGGCAGGTCCTCCTCCAGTTCCCTGTCTTCCGGGGGCCCCACAGTGCTGGGGGTGGGGGCTCCCAGGGCAGGCCCCGGCCGTCTGTCCTCCTCTGCCTCGGCAGGCTCCTCTTTCACTTGGACCTGGTGACTGATGGAAAGGGTGACGTGGGTATGTGGGTGCCGGGGCGCCCCTTCCTCTCACGAATTCATCCGGAAGCCCAGGAACCCGCCAGAATCCCAGCATCTGAGGTCTGACACCCCCCACCCCCAGGCTCTGTGTAAAGAGACAGGAGATGGGCAGAAGTGGAATGAGAGATGGGGAGGGAGGGAGGGGGAGGGAAAGGGAGGGGGGAGGGAGGGAGAGGGAAAGGAGAAGGAGGGGGGAGAGGGAGGGGGAGGGAAGGGGGAAGGAGGGAGGGAGAGAGGGGAGGAAGGGGGAGGGGGAGCAGAGAGAATCACCGGGAAGAGATCACCACCTTCCACACCTGAGGGGCTTCTGTGAGCTCACCTGTACTGAGGAGGGGAGAGACGAGGAGGGCTGCTGCTCCCATTGCTGGGCAGTGGCTCCCCGGGGGCACCCATGTCATCCTGGCTGAGGGGCAGTAGGCTGCTGGCTGAGCCAGGGTTCAGCATGCCAGGACTGCTGAGGAGGGGGAAGCTGCTCTCTGCCAGGGCAGCCTGGAGCACACAGGGCGGGGCCGTCAGTGGCTGGAGACCCTTCCCCGCTGCCGGAGCCCTCATGGAGATGGCACACGATCTCTCTTGGCAACCACTGCTCCCCACCCCCAACACATATCCAGCCAGAACTCTCCACCCCACCGCCCAGCTTCCCTGGAAAACTTCCAGCCTAGCAATGCGCCCCTCCCGCCTGGGGATGGAGGACCCTAGTCTGATGGGCTGAGGGATGGGACTCCATTGGATGTACCAGGCTGTGCCCGCCCATTCCAAAGCTTGAAATCAGAGGTGAGCACTGGTACAGCGTTGGAGCGGAGCAGGGGGAGGGCTGAGGCCCCAATGAGGAGTGTATTACCCTCCTTCCCGCCTCCCCCACCCACTGGGGGAGAAGTCTAGGCAGGGGTAGCAGGTGGGCTCAGTCACCTGGTAGCTGGCGTTGAGGGCACCATAACTGAGGCCCGAGATCATGTTCTTCACCAGGGTGGGACTCCTGGGGAGAGAAGGTAACCTCCGCTTACTGGCTGGCACATGACTGTCCCGACTTTGCTTTCCCGTTGCTACAGGACAGGCCACAGACGGGTCCTTCCCATTTATTCTCTCTGTTCTGTTCTTAGAGCACACGGCGGTGCAGGAAGCAGGGACAGCCTTAGAGCTGGAGAGCAGGATTCCCATTATATATTCTCTGTCTCTCTCTCTCTCTCTCTCCAGGGTCCCAGCCAAGGGACAAGCCTTTAATCCTAGCACTCAGGAGGCAGAGGCAGACAGATCTCTTGAGCTTTAGGCTAGCCTGGTCTACATAGTAAACTCCAGGAAAGTCAGTGCTAAACAGAAAAATCCCCCCTCAAAAACAAAACAAAAAAGAAACCGGGTCTCTCATAGCCCAGGCTGGTCGCTGAAGTGCCTGTAGCTGAAGCTGGCCTTGAACTCCTGATCCTCCAGCCTCTGCCTCCTAAGTGCTGGGAACAGTGCTGCACCACCATGCCTATTTCCTGACGTCTGGCAAACAAAGGCTGGTCTAGAGCTTATATTACTCCTTATGCACGAAGTCCGCTTTCTGGGATTCTTGAACTTAGGACAGACGAGCCATGTGTTCAGACCTGTTCCCCAGAAACACACAACCAAGAGGGGCCCCTCTGCTGCAGAAGCAAGAGATGCTGGGGAAGCCAGGCTGGGACAGTCTGCCTCCTGCAGAACCTCTCAGGACTCCCACCACAGGGGAGAGGCAGAGGTGCACCAGGCTGGTAGAGACACTACCAAGTGCAGAGGCTGGCATGCGGGCACATAGTAGGGCATTTCTCAGTCTTACCCAGCCCCTGCTGCCCAGCAAGGCTGTGCTTGGGTAGAAGAAACATTGGGTACTAAAGTTATCTTAGCCTGGGGCTGGGGAGATGGCTCAGAGGTTAGGAGCACTGGCTGCTCTTCCAGAGGTCCTGAGTTCAATTCCCAGCACCCACATGGTGCTCACAGCCATCTGTAACGCGATCTGGTGCCCTCTTCTAGTTCACAGGCATACATGCAGACAGCACTCACATCTAATAAAAAAAATCTTTAAAAAATATTATCTAAGCCTACTTCAGGCATCCCCTGAGCCAGGGCCCTCTGGCTGGTGCTGGTGGTGTGTGACACCTGGTCCTGGAAGCAGCTCTGCCACCCATCTGCCGTGTGGCTTCCTGCCAGCCCCTCACCCTCTCCACTCAATAGAGGTGGAGGTGCGGCCCAGGGTTATCCTCCTATGACTGGGAGGAGTGTAGGTGACAGCTATGGCCTTGGCCCGCATCCCAATTCTGGCCATTACTGGGGGAGTCACCTCTCTGGTATTCTGTCCTCCGATTGCTTCTCTCAGTCAGAAGTGCGAGCAGGAGATCTCAACACTACCTCTGCACTGTCCTGTCCGTTATGTCCGTGCAGCTCGCCAAGCACTGGTCTCTGCCACCCTTGACTCCCACATTCCCTTTTTGGGGTAGCGTTTGGAGTCAGGTGTCCTTGAGATGCGCGGTCTGGCTCGAGTACAGCTCACCCCGCTGGGACCCACATACCCTGTCATCTTTGGTGGTCTCCGCTTCTGATACTCCCGCTCGTCCACGGTCCACACAGCCCCCTTGACATTCTCCACTCGGACGAAGCACTTGTGCAGGCTGAGGTTGTGGCGCACAGCGTTCTGGGGATGCAGTAAATGGGTTCACCTCCGTTCCAGGGAACACACACAGAGAATCCTCCTATGGCCCCACATCTCATGTCCCAGTGAACAAAAACCACCTACTCAGCCCAGGGACAGCAAGAGGGAAGGCTCGCCCTGCCCCTTCTGCCAGGAGCTCCCCACTTCGGCCTCAACTTAGAAAACGCTGTCTTGGAGAGGATGTGGTGGCCTTTATTCCTCAGTGTGAAAGGCAGAGGCCAGCCTGGTCTATAGAGGGAGTTCCAGGCCAGCCAGGACTATATAGAGAGGCCCAGGACTACATAGAGGCCCTGCCCCAAATGAAAGAAAAGAAAATGCTGTAGCCAATGAAATAAAATCATACCTTTTCCCACCCTGGATAGCAACCATTCCTGACGTCTGATTTTTTAAAATGTGTTTTGCCTGCAGGTATGTCTGTGTGTAGTGTGTTAGATCCCTGGAACAGGAGTTACAGACAATTGTGGGCTGCCATGTGGGTACTGGGAATTGAACATGGGTCCTCTGGAGGAGTAGCCAGTGTTCTTAACCGCTGAGCCATCTCTCCACTCCCATGGCTTCTGATTTTAAGATGGCTTAGAGAAGTTGGGGCACTATACCTCAGGCACACAAGGGACTCTGGGCTAGCAAACAACTCCTGCCACTAACTCAGGGACCTGGCTACCTTCACTGAACCCGACTGTGTCAGACGACTTCCTAAAAGCACGGGCACACAGTGGAGCCTGGTGCATACACGTGGAGACACACTGCTAACTGGAAAGGACATCCTAAATGCACAGCTGTGAGACAACAGGACAAGAGAAAGGGTGAGTCGTCCTGTCACCTCCTCCTAGCAGGAGGACTTTAGAAATTGGGGCCACCTGGTTGGTAGGACACATGGGCAGGGGTTGCTGGTCCTAATTCCCTCTGGAAGCCTGGGTGAGGGCCCTGATCTACCCATCTCCTATCCCCCATAACTCTCTACTTAGTTTTTCTGTCTCTCATCACCAGCCCCAGTCCTGTCCCCATTACCTGTCCCCCATCAGCCTCCTCCAACTCGCCCCATCCCCGTCTCCTCTTTACATTTCTAAATGGGGAAGAAAGCGGGCAGGGCGGGCAGTGGGTGCCCCTGGAGATCCCCTCTCCCATCCAACTCTTGCCTCTTGCAACTGGCCCGATTTCATTACCAATTTTAATTTGCCTCTAATTAAATCCTGTGTATTTTTCCGACTCGCTTGCTAATCCACGAGGGAGGCGGGCGGCTGGAGTGGAATCTCACGGAGCGATAATTACAAAGGGCCTAATCACGCCGGGGCTCCTGCCTCGGAATAAATTTGCCCGCATTACGGGGCTCCGATCCTCTGCTTTGCAAATGAGAATGACCCCAATTTCCGAGGGTGGCCTCGCCGGGGCTTTTTCCCTCGTTTCGAAGCCTGATTCGTGATGAGAGACTAATTCGTTACGCTGAAACATTAACGGCAATTTAAGGGGTCTGGCGGAGGCTGCGTAAACAAAGGGATGGGCGCACAACGCAGACCCTAGGAGGGATGGACATGGGAGGGCTGGTGAGGACCATCAGCCTGGCAGATGGTAGCTCTGTCCCCAAGAAATGGCAGCTGGCCTGGCCCACACCCACTCCTGCATCACCTATGGATGGGGGCCAGAAGGGGTGGGGATGGGGACCAAGAAACCCAAATAAAGTAGAGGAAGATTTAACAGAAACAGAGGGAGGAAACCACAGGCTACATTCCCCCCAACACCATGAATGAAGTTGGCTGACTGAAAGGAACTCTAGAAGAAAATGTGGACCTCAAGCCAAGATAGGCAGTGTGGTGGCAGTGTGGTGCCCCTGGGTGGCGCAGGTGACCACGTGGGCACATTGTGTATCCGGACCAGTGTGTGGAAAGGGGAAACAGATGGAGGCCAAGTGACCCTGACTTGTTTTAACATGGCCACTGAGAAATCATGAAAGCCCCCGGAACCGGCTCCCACAAAGAAACCACATGCTACACTGTATTAAACTTTAGGTAAAAGGATTGTATCATTTGTAAAGCCTGCCTTCCGACCTGGCTGGGAGTTTGAAGGCAGGACCAGGTGGCCCCAGAATGCCATGTTGGCTCAAAAAGAGAGCAGGACTGTGGTTGCCAGGAAGTGACATCACCCATAGCCAATCGGAATGGGCGGCCCCAGCCACATCGTCTCTTAAGCTTTGGGAGCTTGGCATAGCAAAGGGAAGATGATATGATAGGTACTTCTCGTAGCCCTTTATACATCACTAAGGCAGAAAGGCTGGCAACTGCAGACCACACCCAGTGCTTGGCAGTGCCCTGGCCCCAAGGGCCTCGGTTGGTTACATCGAGGCCCTTGGTCACACAGCCAGCGGGAGGGTGTCTGTTTTGCTGCAGGTTTTTCACTGGCCAGCAGGGGGACCCGAGAGCCAGGGATACAATTAAGAGTTCTGAGACAGGGATGCCCTCTCCTGGGTCTAGACTTCCTCTTGAGGGTCAATACTCCCTCCTCCTCAATTTAGATACCACCTTCCCACCTTGCTGCACAGCGCAAGACACACAAGGGGTGAGCACGTAAACCGTGTCTTGACTATAGAATGGCTTAGTGTCCCAGCCCACATCTCTGTCCCATTTTCCTAGGGTCTTGCATTCCTCCGGTCTCCTAGGAAAATGCTTATGGCTGAAAGTGTTCAATGACTAATTGGATAGACAATTATCTCCCTGCTGCGTGTGTGAGTTCTCATTTGTGTCCCTGAGAATGGTCCACGGGCCTCAGTCCACCCACGTATCTGGGCCAGTATGTCTGTGACCTTGACTTCATATGAGCCTTTAGTTATAGGGAATTAGATCCATGATGTACCTGTGGATTTACCCCAGGACCTGCTACCAAGAATGCTCCCCTCTCACAGGGCTGGATTCTCCGTACCTCAGACGTACCCCAAAAGAGAAAAGCAATTTCTTCCCATTAAAGACAGCAGAAGGCTGGCCAAGGCCATTAAAAGCAAATCCCTGGGAATGCTTCGAATACACAGGGCTGGGCTCCATGCCCAGCAAGTGCCTAATAGGGTGTGCTGACGAACACTTGTGACCTTGGCTCTCGGGGAGGTGGAGGCAAGGTGATCATCTGAATCCAGGGTTTTAAGACCAGCCTGGGCAACATGGCAAGCCCCTGACTTACAAAAGGGCAGTTACGAACCCTCTGCTAAGGAGTGGAAGTGTTAGGGCTGGAGAGATGGCTAAGCAGTGTGTGTGTGTGTGTGTGTGTGTGTGTGTGTGTGTGTGTGTGTGCGTGTGAATGTGTCTGTGTGAGTGTGTGTGAGAGAGTGTGTGAGTGTGTGTGAGTGAGTGTGTGTGTGTGTGTGTTGGGGGAGGTGGCCCTGGTGGGCTATTTCTGAAGAATGGTTGAGGGGATAAAGCGTTAGGCAGCCTGGGTCTCGATGGAGTGTGGAGGTTTAAGAAGTGAGGGTAGGGAGAGGGACAGGTCTTACCTTCCAGGTGGCAGTGTTTCTTCGGAAATAGGCGAACATCCTGGTGAACCAGTTATAGATCTCATTCAGAGTCAGCTGCCTATCTGGAGTTTCCAGAATGGCCTGCAGGCAAGGAAAGGGCAACAAGACCCTCAGCTTACACCCGCAGGGCTCACAGCCCTGTGGTTTTTCTCTGTGTAGCCTCTGGCTCACCCCTAAGGAGAGGAGTGCAATGTGTGTGGACCAGTGGGTGGATGCAGGAGTCTTCGGGAGGCGGCTGGGTATCCCAGCAAGGCCACTGAACTAACGGGCTGAGGATACTGGGAGCCCAGCCTCTTCTGGGGCCGGGGGTGAGGGGGAAATGGCTTCCGGTGCCCTATCTAGGGGAAGCAAGTGAGGCAGTTGGGAATTTGTCCTTATTTGGGCAAAGTGCACCCTGGGAATGTACGAGAATGCACACCTGTAGGAAGTCCCATAGAATGGACACGTGTGTAAGAGTATGTCCGTGTGTGAATATCATGTGAGCATTAACATGAGGCTTATGGACAGGAGAGAACAGAGAGGGAGGAGGCTAAGGGTATGTGTGCAGAAATGAGAAAACATCGTGGATGCAGACGGTAAAAATGATGGGACTATCCTCCGAGCTGCAGCCAAACTAAGCTGCTACAGGAAGACCAGATGAGGGTCTCAGGGCCCTCCTGGAGGTTGGGACCTTATGGTCAGGAAACAGTGGACCTGGGTGCAACTAGCTTCCTGC